CTAAAGAGTGCACGACACTTTTGAATGATCTAAAGGTTGTTTGGTTGGGTACAAACCAATTCTATAAGGGGCATGGGCATATCGAATGGGCACACGAGGGGGTCGTGCCAAATCCAATGGGCACACCGAACCTGGGTACCAAATCCATTGGGCACTAATTCATTCGAATGGGCACGCCACTCAATCCAATAGTGACCGGTCCGAATCCATCGAGAAAATGTCCAAGTCAATTGAAAAATGGTGTACTTCTTGCTGCTACGCTTCATATACAAACCACGTTGTGTATATGTACGATGTCAGGGGTTGCCAAGGTATCCAGATCCAACTGAACTTTATCGACATACAGTACCAGCGCTACTGCCCATTGAGTTACGACTCACGAGGTCCAAATTGCATTAAAACATCCCATAACATTAGCAAATCAACCACAGAGCTAGACTCGCCTCTTAAATTGAGCTGCGCATCATCCAATATATAAACGAGTCGGCTGCAACAAAGAAATAGCTTTCACGGATGCAAGCGGTACTTTTCACGTCTTGATTTGGCATGCAAGACAATAAGTACAACATCGACAACGAAGTGGTCACTCTGCTTATGGCGTTCCTTACACGGTCCTATCTTATGCTAAAGGCGTTGTGTGCGTCGGCGTCACTTGTCAAAAGAATCGAAACGGTAGCCAAGCAAGTTGGAGCCGACATCGAAGCCTTCGTCGCGTGGGGAGCACTGCTGCGTTATCGCAAGGTTCAAGCAAGTAAAGTGGCATCGATGTCTGCCGTTATCACTTTCGCAGAGCAGCAGACTGACATGATACAAGTCCTCACCGCGCAAAACAAGCGGCGACCGAGTCACGCCGTCCATTCGGTAGAGTTCGTTGGTGGTGGCGTTATAGCTTCGCTTAGCCTGCTAGAACTGCACTCCAACGGGGATATAGATAGAAGGTTGACGACCTACGGCGCACACGAATAGCACTGCGAACAAGGCAAAGTGAAACTCGACCAAGTACAAGATGTAATGCAGCAAAGTCGAGTCGATTTTTGGTCCAAGCCGGACGAGAAGCATGCGATCCACAGACGTGACGTCAAAGAAGGTGGGCACCGGTGCTTTTAACACAGAGGTAAATATCTCGAAGGTGGACCGATAAGGCGGCACCAGCAGCAGCGCAAACGTTGATCTATCCATAGAGGACGGAGGTCGGAGCTTCACTGGCCCACACACCCTCATGAACCACTCCGTCATAGTTAACGTCACTTGCGACAGCACACACAGCAACGTGATGCACCCCCACCCCACCATGTTTAGTGTTGTACTTGGAAGTATAATGTTTTCGTGCCAACTTACTAGTTCCAATATGACGAACCAACCACATGGCTGGCTACCTTGAGATAGCTACAATATTCAAAGTCATACTTCTAATATCGGCTTGTATAGCTGACTCGACGAAGGACGGACAGCGTAGTCTTCCTAGATACAATGGCTTCAACTGAACTCTTTCGTGGTGAATTCAGGATAACGCTACAGTTAAACTCCTCGGCTAACAGGTTGCACCTACAGCTAAAACATTGCACATTACACATATAGCCTCGTCGTTCCATAGCTGGGTGGCATACTAATGTAGCCATAGCCAAAATGCTTGAATTGCTCTTACAACGAGGCTAACTTTGCTAAAGTACTTGTGCACTATCTGTATACGAATTCGATGAGTCAACCGGCGGATGATGAGCTGCAAACTCCAACCTCAAGTCAAACACTTGTTACTGCAATTAACTGCAATATATTCAAAAACAACACTAAAATGAATGTGAATAAAGGGGCCGTTAATCGAACGTTGAAGTGGTCTGGAACAGGTCAAACTTTTGCAACGAGTAAGAGTTATGGGTCGGGGGGTGGCACTCCCAGAGGTGGGGCCGCGCGCCGGTCTCGTCGTTGATGTCGAGGCAATATCCCTTGTGCGTCAAGTGGCGCAGCTGGTTGGTGTACACATCGTATTGCCACTTTTGATTCTTGTTGGTGTCGCCACACTTCCACGTATGCACGCGACCACCGTTCCACGGCTCGTACGCGTCGAGGCAGTTGTAGTCAATGACCGACCGCACCTGGTGGAAGTCGCGGTTGTAGTCCCACTCCTGGCGCCACGCGGCCGGCAGCGGCGCGTTCGGGTCGGACGGATTCTCGGCCGGGTCTTTCGGCAACAGCGCCGCAAACGAAATGTCCCCCGCCGTGTCGTTGCGCTCCGTCTTGGTCGTGGTCAGGAGCAGGTCCTTGCGCTGCAAATGACCGATCTCCTGGACCACGGACCAGTACTGGTTCTTGTTGACGTCGTGGGAATGGCACTCCCACACTTGGGCCTGGCGCTGGGGGGCCGTGGGGTCGGCATCCAGACACACGTTCGGGTGCGTGGCGTGCTGGATGCGGTGATTGGCCATGTCCACGTACCACCGCTGGTTGGGGTTAGCGCCGTCGCACGCCCACGTGTGGACCCAGTACTTGCCGTCTTTGGGGTACGCGTCGAGGCACTCGCGCTGGTTGCTGTTGCTGCGGAGCTGCTGGGTGTCCTTGTTGAATAGCCACCACTCGTTCATGTTGTCCTTCTTGGCGTCGGCAAACAGGTTCGAGTACCATTCCGAGAGCGGGTAGTCTTGTGCAGAGTAGAAGCGCCACGCGACTTCGTTGGCGCTGGCGGGCGCGGCCGAGGCGGCCAACGACAGCGCGGCAGCAATGCAAGCAATCGACTTCATGATCGATGGATGGTAAATGGGAAAGTGAGGTTGGGATCCCAAGT